AGCCGGATGAGTGACCTTGGGCAAGTTCCTCTCTCTCAGCCCAGCCCACCTCAGAGGGTTGTTTTGCGGAGAAAACAGGAGAAGGAAGGTGTGTTGGATATGTTCTCCGCCTTGAGTTAGGTGTGAAAATAATAAAGGCGGGATACAAATCAACAACGAAAAAAACCTTCCTGGCTGGTAAGCTGGCGTATCTGTGGCCCAATTCGCACTAGACTCAGCCCCAGTCTCTAGCCTCATGGAACATCGTCCCCTCCACCCACCCACCCCAATCAAGACGGGGGTCTCCCCCCCCACCCTCCCGTCCACGGTACCAAAGGAGCGGAGGCATTTCTCGATCAGCTCATCCAAGGTGCAGGAACGATTCAGTTCTGCCAGGCTGATGCAGGCCAAAGCCTGGTTGATCTCCCGTGGGTTGGGGCAGGTCATGTGGCGTCGGCTCTTCCGCCGGTAGATCCTGCTGGCTCCCGGGAGGGTGCTGGAATCCATCCTACCAGCCGCCTCAGTCTGGGATCTCCTGCAAAAGCAACAACTCTGCTATCTGGCCATTGTCAACAAATGGGGCTGTGGCGGATCATCCAGCTGGTGCCTCCATCAGCTCTTGAGTGGAAGTACGGTTGCATCTTATCTTCTACACCAGTGTTTCCCAAACTTGACAATTTTAAGGCATGTGGACTTCAACTCCCAGAATTCCACAGCCAGCGTTGCTGGCTGTGGAATTCTGGGAGTTGAAGTCCTCATGCCTTAAAATTGTCAAGTTTGGGAAACACTGTTCTACACAACAAAAGCCACAGCAGCTCTACTCCAAAGGCAGATGGGGTGGCAAGGAGCCTTTGGGGAGATGCTAAGGGGTGGGTTAATCTCCTCTAACATTTAAGACCCCTTCATCTGCCCTCTTCCCCCCCCTCCAAATGGTCAGGAACCTTGGACCCTTTGATGCTGCTGGGAGCGCTGTGATTAGAAGGCCGCATTGCAGGCTGACTCTGCCCACTGCCAGCAGTTTGATCCTGACTGGCTGAAAGGTTGACTCTGCCTTCCATCCTTCCGAGGTCGGTGCAAATGAGGACCCAGATTGTGGGGCGGGGTCGGGGGGGGGGGAAAGAGGTTGACTCTGTAAACCGCTTAGAGAGGGCTGTCAAGCACCACAAAGCGGTATACAAGTCTAAGTGGCTAGTACATTGGTTCTCAACCTATGGGTCGGGACCCCATTTGGGGTCGAATGACCATTTCACGGGGGTCGCCAAACAACGCAGTCCGCCATTTCCCCCCCCTTTTCCTTAGCTGTGCTACTCCCTTTTATTCTATTGGTTTTTGAAAGCCAATAGAATAGACTCTCTTGAATAGAGTCTACTTCTATTGGCTTTCAAAGGCCAATAGGAATGGTCCAGGCTGTCTCTGCCCTGCTGAGCCCGCCAAAAGTCCCATTCTGCAAACGGTGCTGCACCAGTTGAGTAGTCCTCGACTTGCGACCGGTCGGGGGTCGTGGCATTAAAAAGGTTGAGAACCACTGGGCTATTGCATTTGCTCTTTCTGGAGAGGCTCTGCTGATTGCCCGTAACAGGCCTCTGAGCCAACTGCTTGCAGCCCTGTGCCACGATCTTGCACAAGTTCCTCAAATGCCCATTTCAAGAGCTCCACATCCTGGCAGCCTTACACACACACACACACACACACACACACACACACACACACACACACTGTGCAGCTTCACGTTGCCTGGCTGTTTCAAACCCCAGCTATTCACCGAGGAAAACAGGAGGCCCTGTGCGAATTTCTGCCAAGTTCCCCCCTTCTCAACCCCATGGAAAGACCCTCTTCCGTCACCCTGCTGCTCTCCCTCCAGTTTCCCGTCCCCGTCCCGTAGCGTGCTGCATCTTGTCGATGTACTAGGACGTTGCTTCTGAAAGCACCCTTTTCCAACCTTTCTCCCAAGTGAAAAACATCGGCTAGCCCGGGCTTGAGACACGCTTTGAGTCGTTAAGATTTCGCTCCGATAAATTTGGGGCGGGTTGCTGTCCAATTCAGAGGTTTCCCATCCTCCCAACCGTCTTGTGCACAGGAACCTACAGGTCTGAACGTGCCTTTCAACCTTTCCCAAATGCGACAGCTGTCATTTTCCAATTTAGAGTTGGCTTTTATTTTTTTCCACGTTAAGTTGCGCCGAGTTGAAAAGAAACTTACCTGCGGGTGTCCCGCCATTAGGGCCCCCGAGCTGCAGGTAAGAATGAAAAACCAGCTGCCTGGTAAATAGATCAGCTGCTGTTCTTCTATGCGGTGAGAGAGTTCCAGAGTAGAAAAGTGGGAGCTTTTTCCAGGATACGGAAGGAAGGAAGAATCTTCCTTCCCCGTGTAAGTTTCTGGCTTAGCCTATCCTGATGCCCATCAGCCCGGCGCCTCTCCCCAAAACTGGCGCCTTGGGAAAGATTTTTTTTTTATTATTAAAAAGTTTTTATTTTCCATTTATTCATACAAAATACAATTCAATTAAAATAAATTCCTAACCCTTGGTACCGCCTGCCCATTCCCCCCAGGCTGCGTCCACCCTCTCTAAACCTTCCCTACTTCCCTCACGCCTTGGGAAAGATTAACTTCATATGACCGAGGATGTACGGAGGGCAACTCCTCCTTTTCCACATGAGCGCAAAAGAGGAGAAGTGAGAAAATAAAGTTGAGTTCACCTTACTCAAAATGACACAGAACTTAGAAGGAAAAAACACCAAGGTGACTAAGAGGAGAAAGAAAGAAAGAAAGAAAGAAAGAAAGAAAGAAAGAAAGAAAGAAAGAAAGAAAGAAAGAAAGAAAGAAAGAGAGAGAGAAAGGGCGATTTCAGCGCGTTTGGCTTACCGCTTGCTCGCCCGTCGGATCATGGTTTCTTTGGCTAGCTGACCGGGATCCTTCCCTTCAGTTGGTTGTGACCATTAGGGTGGATTGCCTCTTCACTTGGCAGTTATTTGCCAAATGCCAAAAGCTTCCCTTGGCCCAAGCAAGGCCCAGATAAGTTGGATGGCAGAGACGCCGGCTGGCTGCGAGGCAGCTGAGTCAAAACGAACTGGTTGGTTTTCTGCTGATGTGGAGTTAAAAGGAACTGGGTTACACATGTGATGTGTGTGTGTGTGTGTGTGTGTGTGTGTGTGTGTGTGTCTGGAAAAAAGTAGAACTAAATCTTACTTTTCGCTATATGGTTAATCAGAGAGATTCCTGGGCATGGAGCTTTTAAACCAAGAGGCCAAATGCAACAGGTGAACTCTCTCTGTTGCGATGGTTTTAACTCGACAGGGAGTCCTCAACGTACGACCACGGCTGAGCCCAGAACGTATGTTGCTCAGCGAGACATATTGTTAAGTGAGTTTTGCCCCATTTTATGACTTTTCTGGCCACGGTTGTTCAGGGAATCGCTGCAGCTGGTTGAGTCAGCCACCCGGTTGCTAAGTGAATGGGGCTTTCCCCTCCGTTGACTTCGCTTGTCAGACGGTCACAAAAGGGGATCAGACGGCCCACCGGGTCATTGCAACCGTCGTAAATATGAATTGGTTGACAAGCATCTGAATTTTGATCCGTGGGGATGCTGCCACCGTTGTGTGAGGGATGCTCTTAAGTGGCTTTTTTCCAGTGCCGTTGTAACTTTAAGTGGTCACTAAATAAACTTTCTCTTTTTCTCTTGCATTTTTTTGTCTTTTCTTTCTCTTTCTTTCCCCTTCTCTTTCCCTCTTGTTTTTTCTCTTTCTCTTTCTTTCTCTTTCATTCTTTCCCTTTTTCTCTTGCTTTCTTTTTCTTTTTCTCTTTTTCTGGTTTCTCTTTCTTTCCTTTCTCTCTTTCTCTTTCCCTCTTGTTCTTTCTCTTTCTCTTTCTTTCTCTTTCGTTCTTTCTCTTTTTCTCTTGCTTTCTTTTTGTCTCTTGTTTCTTTTTCTTTCTCTTTCCCTCTTGTTTCTCTTTCTTGCTCTCTTTCTCTTTTTCTCTTGCTTTTTTTTGTCTTTCTCTTTCTTTCTCTTGTTTCTCTTTCTTTCCCTTTCTCTCTTTCTCTTTCTCCCCTGCTTTCTCTTTGTCTTGGTCTTTTTCTTTCTCTTTCTTTCTCTTTCTCTTATTTCTTTTTCTTCCCCCCCCCCCTCTTCTTCTTTTATTCCTTCTCTCTCTGCTGCACAACTGCAAAAATTTTGAGAGCCACAGTCAGACCCTGAATCCACCCATGGTGCTTAACTAATGACAAAGTTTTCAAATCATGCCTCGCTGACTAAACCTCTTAGCGTTTACACAAAACACGCCGAGCAGGAAGCCACAGTGGTTGGCTTCGCAAACACACTCGACCAAACCCAGTGGACCACAAGATAAGATCCAGGGAGCCAAACACAGAAAAACTGGGAAGGAGCATCTTTTCATTGGTCTGTGTGCTTTCCTCACCTATTTGATCCGCATACCTGAGCAGGTGAGAACGCTTCCCTCTGAAGCAGCTGAGGCTGCCTGCACAAGAAGGTGTAAAAACCACAGGAGTAGACCACAGGAAAGGGGAAGGAGAAAGAGAAGCTATTTCTACTTTTTTGCAACCCAGTGAATGCTATCAGATTTAAGAATAATTAACCCAAAGAAAGCCCCTCCCTTCCAATACACCAGTGGTTCTCAACCTTTTTAATGCCACGACCCCCCAACTGGTCGTAAGTCGAGGACTACTCAACCAGTCGTAAGTCGAGGACTACTCAACTGGTGCAGCACCGTTTGCAGAATGGGACTTTTGGCGGGCTCAGCAGGGCAGAGACAGCCTGGACAATTCCTATTGGCTTTTGAAAGCAAATAGAATTAGACTCTATTCAAGAGAGTCTATTCTATTGGCTTTCAAAAGCCAATAGAATAAAAGAGAGTAGCACAGCTAAGGAAAAGGGAGGAAAAAAATGGCGGACTGCGTTGTTTGGTGACCCCCGTGAAATGGTCGTTCGACCCCAGATGGGGTCCCGACCCACAGGTGGAGAACCACTGCAATACACGTTTATTCAGGGAAATGACACTTTGCAGTGGATCCTCCATTGAGGATAATTACACCCGCCCCTCAAGAAACAGAATTCAGATATTCTAATTTTTTTTCTCAATGTATTTTATCACTGGATCCCCGTAACTACCCGAGGATCCCCTCTGCGAGTTTTATTTTCCTTTCCACCAATGCTGCGTTTCCATTCTTTTCCAGGAGATAGGCCCCTTTAAATATTTTCTTTCCCCTCTGCAGGGAATTTATAAACGGGATATTGCTTTTTTGTTTTTTTTTTCTTTTTTCTTTCGAAGTGTGTTGGTTTTGTACCTTCCCCATTGTGGTTACACTTGTAGGTGGGGAAAGGCTGAACTTTTTGGGTCTCAGAAGAGAGCTTATTTCAAAGGAAAGGAAGGCCAAATGTGGTGGGCGTTGTGGAAATGTATAGATAGCCCTAAAGTGGAAACTATTTAGGTTTTTTTTTTATTGGTTTTCTTTTTTTTTTTTTTTAAAGATTCTCATTAGAAGACATTCTGAGGTCTTTCTAAGTGGGAAAACAGACCAACCTTTTGAGAAGGTGGAAAAACCAGAAGTTTAATCTTGGGCTTCAAAAAATCAAAAACGTGGTTCCATTGGCTTTACTTGAATGCGGTTGACTTTGGAAAAGAAGCAATGTTTAAACCCCAGTTCTAGGCCCTGGGAATTTGAGTTGACTAATTTGGCTGGATTGGGCTTCCTTCAACCCTTTTGTATTTGCTGTTGCCTTATCCTGCTTGTCTCCAAAACTTCCTCTAAAGTCATCTATCGTGTTTCTGAGGCAGAAAAAGGAAGGTTGAAGCCATCATGCAGGCTACCTTGTGCAAAATGTAGCCTTCTGCCTAGCTGGAACCATGTCAGGTGCAGAGAACAAAGCCAGTGAATTGTCTCAAGCCATCATCTCCGATCTTGCCAGGAGTGGCGTTTGTGTCTGTCCTTGCAGGACCAGCCCCAGGCAGGTGAGTAAAGTTAGGGGAGGGCCTGGTCTGAAGACTTGAAAAGGGCTTCCTAAAAATGGATCTAAAAGTAAAATGTCCCTGGAGGCCATCTTGAGTCTGCTGGCTTAACAGGATAACAGAGTTGGAAGGGGCCTTGGAGGTCATCTAGTCCAACCCCCTGCTCAGGCAGGAAACCCTATAGTACCATTTCAGGCAAATGGCTGTCCAGTCTCTTCTTCAAAACTTCCAGTGTTGGAACATTCACCGCTTCTGGAGGCAGGTTGTTCCACTGGTTAATTGTTCTAACTGTCAGGAAGTTTCTCCTTAGTTCTAGGTTGCTTCTCTCCTTGATCAGTTTCCATCCGGTGCTTCTTAATAATAATAATAATAAAATTGGAAGGGACCTTGGAGGTCATCCAGTCCAACCCCCTGCTCAGGCAGGAAACCCTACACCAGTGTTTCTCAACCTTGACAATTTTAAGGCATGTGGATTTCAACTCCCAGAATTCCACAGCCAGCATTGCTGGCTGTGGAATTCTGGGAGTTGAAGTCCACATACCTTAAAATTGTCAAGGTTGAGAAACACTGCCCTACACTATTTTGGACAAATGGCTGTCCAGTCTCTTCTTAAAAACCTCCAGTGTTGGAGCATTCACCGCTTCTGGAGGCAAGTGGTTCCACTGGTTAATTGTTCTCTCAGGAAATTTCTCCTTAGCTCTAAAGGTCATTTTTCTCCTTGATTAGATTTCGTCTGTTGTTCTTGTCCTGCCTATGTTTTGGAAAATAGGGTGACCCCTTTTTTGGGGGGCAGCCCCTTAGATATTGGAAGACTGCTGTCCTGGACATCACCGCATAGGTCTTCTTGATGAGATACAAGCAGTTAGAAAGTCCCCAAAAGGGATCACATAAGCCCGGGACGCTGCAGCCGTCATAAATATGAGTCATTTGCTAAGTGTCTGAATTTTGATCACCTGACTATGAGGATGCTGCAACGGTTGTGTGAAAAATGATCATAAGTCACTTTTTTCGGTGCAATTTGTAGCCTTCCAACGGTTACTAAATGAACTTTTGTCAGTTGAGGATGACCTGTATCTCCCCAATTTTCCCATTTGCTAGGCTATGAACCTCGGATTAAAGAAAAAAAATCTGCAGAGACTAAAGGGAAATAAATATTTAGTTATTAAGGCAACGGTTTGTCTGTTTAATTGTTCTTTGCTTCGTTACAGAAAGCTCCAGATGGGCGTTTTCCAGCCTTGGGGCTGTTTGGCATCCCGCTGCACTTGTTGCGTCCTTCACAACATGTCGAAGGTGTGCCAGAGTGAGTAATTTTGGATGCACTTCTCTACACATCCTGGATAATCCCCCCCAAAAAAATTTCTTCCCGTCAATTAATGGGGGGGGGAAGGGAACTGTTGGGATCTGTGAACTATAATTCAGGAGCCGTTGTTAGGCTACTTCTCTGTGCACTAAGGAAATAAGGAGCATCGCTCTCAGTAGAATATTTGTAGCTCAGGGTTCAACTGGGGGTGGTAGGGTCCTTGGTGCTCTCTGAGCTTGGTGGTTTTCTTGCAGACGTTTCGTGACCCAACTAGGGAACGTCATCAGTGCTAGAAGGGAGCCTACTCCCTTGTGAAGAAGGGAGGATGAGAAGGAGGACCGTGGGGTCCTTGGTGCTCTCTGAGCTTGGTGGTTTTCTTGCAGACGTTTCATGACCCAACTAGGTATTGTCATCAGTGCTACGTTTACAGAGTTTACAGAGAACAGACCACACCTTCTACCAGTGATCATGTGACCTAGTTAGGTCATGAAATGTCTGCAAGAAAACAATCAAGCTCAGAGAGCACCAAGAACCCCACAGTCGTCGTCCTCCCCCCTCTCCTCCTCCTCCCTCCCCTTAAACCTCACATCCTTCTAGCACTGATGGTATTACCTAGTTGGGTTGTGAAACGTCTGCAAGAAGACAACCAAGCTCAGAGAGCACCAAGGACCCCACAGTCGTTGTCTTCTTCTTCTTCTTCTTCTTCTTCTTCTTCTTCTTCTTCTTCTTCTTCTTCTTCTTCTTCTTCTTCTTCTTCTTCTTCTTCTTCTTCTTCTTCTTCTTCCTCCTCCTCCTCCTCCTCCTCCTCCTCTTCCTCCTCTCAAACCTCACATCCTTCTAGCACTGATGGTATTACCTAGTTGGGTTGTGAAACGTCTGCAAGAAGACAACCAAGCTCAGAGAGCACCAAGGACCCCACAGTCTTCTTCCTCTGCTCCTCCTCCTCCTCCTCCTCCTCTCAAACCTCACATCCTTCTAGCACTGATGGTATTACCTAGCTGGGTTGTGAAACGTCTGCAAGAAGACAACCAAGCTCAGAGAGCACCAAGGACCCCACAGTCTTCCTCCTCCTCCTCCTCCCCCCCCTCAAACCTCACATCCTTCCAGCACTGATGATGTTACCTAGTCAGGTTTTGAAACGTCTGCAAGAAGACAACCAAGCTCAGAGGACACCAAGTCCCCATGCAAGGAGCATTACTGTCTCCTATGAATTCTTGCAAGATAATTCATTCCCCGCCTTTTTACCCAAAGCTGAACAAAAAGATTGAACCAGTAACCCAAGAGGAGGTGATCAGTACAGAACAACCCTTAAAAAAACCCCAAGTGCTGGTTTTGGATTGGTTCAGGCAAGTTGAACCTACACTGGTTGAACCTATAGGTGGACCGCAGAGGAAAACACGGTTTTCCAGGTCTGCTGGATCTGCAAGCGGGGACTCACACCCCAGGGATGGGTGGCAGGTAACACACCTGACTGCCTTGGACTGAGCCTCTCCCACCCATCTCTTCCATTAGTAATTCTGTGGTGAAGACACACCCCCAAGTCCTACCAATAATAATAATAATAATAATAATGACGATGATGATGATGATGATGGATGGTTATCCATAAGCAGCTAAGAGGTCTGTTGTTTTCCCATTTGAAGGGTGGTTGTGTGCATGTACATCCATTTGACCCAAAGTAAGTATGAAGGTCCTTCATACAAAGAAGGTAGGACAGAATAACAGAGTTGGAAGGGACCTTGGAGGTCATCTAGTCCAACCCCCTGCTCAGACAGGAAACCCTATGTACCATTTCGGACAAATGGCTGTCCAGTCTCTTCTTAAAAACCTCCAGTGTTGGAGCATTCACCGCTTCTGGAGGCAGGTTTTTCCACTAGTTAATTGTTCTCACTGTCAGAAAGTTTCTCCTTAGTTCCAGGTTGCTTCTCTCCTTGCTTAGTGTCCATCCGTTGCTTCTTGTCCTGCCTTCTTCAGGTGCTTTGGAGAATAGCTTGACTCCCTCTTCTTTGGGGCAGCCCCTGAGATACTGGAAGGCTGCTATCATGTCCTCCCTCGTCCTTCTCTTCGTTAAACTAGACATACCCAATTCCAGCAATCTTGCCCTACACCAGGGGTAGGCAACCTTGGCTCTTTTATGACTCGTGGACTTCAACTCCCAGAATTCCTGAGCCAGCCATGCTGAGGGGAAAGGGAGAGGTTTCCAGGCTGAGCCATGCTGGCTCAGGAATTCTGGGAGTTGAAGTCCATGAGTCATAAAGCGGCTTAGGCCTAGGCCAGGGGTAGGCAACCTTGGCTCTTTTATGACTCGTGGACTTCAACTCCCAGAATTCCTGAGCCAGCATGGCTCAACATGGCAACCTCTCCCTTTCCCCTCAGCATGGCTGGCTCAGGAATTCTGGGAGTTGAAGTCCACGAGTCATAAAAGAGCCAAGGTTGCCTACCCCTGCCCTACCCCAACCCGATGGAGACTGATCCAATAATTGCGTCTTTGTGTTTCTCATCCCAGGTTCCTAGTGGAGGCCTGTGAGCTCCTGAGACCCCATCTCCACACCGAAGGCCTTGTCCGCAAGTGCGGTTCAACGACTCGGATCAAAGCTTTGAAGGTAAACTCTAGAACTGCGCCAAGTGACCCCCCTGAGCTCCTTCCACTTCCCCAAATAGTTTTCATTCCTTCCTTTGCCGAAGCGTAAAACGTTGGCCTCTTTCCCCGTTGCCCAGCTTCTGTTCCGTGCCTAGACGGATCTGCCTTTCATCTACCCCAGTGGTTCTCCACCTGTGGGTGGGGACCCCATTTGGGGTCGAACGACCATTTCACGGGGGTCGCCAAACAACGCAGTCCGCCATTTTTCCCCCCTTTTCCTTAGCTGTGCTACTCCCTTTTATTCTATTGGCTTTTGAAAGCCAATCGAATAGACTCTCTTGAATAGAGTCTAATTCTATTGGCTTTCAAAAGCCAATAGGAATTGTCCAGGCTGTCTCTGCCCTGCTGAGCCCGCCAAAAGTCCCATTCTGCAAACGGTGCTGCACCAGTTGAGTAGTCCTCGACTTACGACCGGTTGAGTAGTCCTCGACTTACGACCGGTTGGGGGTTGCAGCATTAAAAAGGTTGAGAACCACTGGACTACGCCTAATCGAGAGGGTTTATTGACTTCACAGGAAGTCCTTGACTTTCAACAGTTCATTTAGTGACCGTTCGAAGTGACACCGGCATGGAAAAAAGGGACTCGGGACTCTTTTTTCACACTTAACGACCGTCGCAGCACCTCCATGGTCACGGGATTAAAATTCAGATGCTTAGCCACTGGTTCCTATTTATGACGGTCGCAGCGTCCCCGGGATCACGCAATCTCCTTTTGCGACCTTCTAACAATGGGGAAGAAGTCAGATTCCCTTAACAACCCGTGGTACTAACTTATCAACTGCAACGATTCACTTAACAACCATGGCAAGAAAGGTCATAAAATGGGGCCAAACTCACTTGACAAATGTCTTGTTTAGCGACACAAATTTGGGCCTCAGTGGTGGTTGTTAAGTCCGGGACTGCCTGTATTACAGTTGTTGGAATCTCCAAAATCTTTTAAAACCATAAAAACAGTAGAAACCATTAAAACATTTAAAAAACATAATAATAATAATAATGATGATGATGATGATAATGATGATGATGATAATGATGATGATGGTGGTAATAATGATGATGATGATGATGATAATAATAATAATAAAGTTGGAAGGGACCTTGGAGGTTATCTAATCCAACCCCCTGCTCAGGTAGGAAATCCTATGCCATTTCAGACAAATGGCTGTCCAGTCTCTTCTTTAAAAACTTCCAGTGTTGGAGCATTCAGAGCTTCTAGAGGCAGGTAGTTCCACTGGTTAATTGTTCTAACTGTCAGGAAGTTTCTCCTTAGTTCTAAGTTGCTTCTCTCCTTGCTTAGTTTCCACCCGTTGCTTCTTGTCCTGCCTTCAGGCTCTTTGGAAAATAGCTTGACTCCCTCTTCTTTGGGGCAGCCCCTGAGATATTGGAACGCTGCTATCATGTCCCCCCTCGTCCTTCTCTTCATTAAACTAGACAGACCCAATTCCTGCAACCGTTCCTTATACGTTTTAGCCTCCAGTTCCCTAATCATCTTTGTTGCTCTTCTCTGTACTCTTCTAGAGTCTCAACATCTTTGTTACATTGTGGTGACCAAAACTGGATGCAGGATTCCAAGTGTGGCCTTACCAAGGCATTCTAAAGTGGTATTAATACTTCACGTGATCTTGATTCTGTCCTTCTGTTAATGCAGACTAGCACTGTGTTGGATTTTTTGGCAGCTGCAGCACACAGCTGGCTCATATTTAAGTGATTGTCTACTAGGACTCCGAGGTCCCCCTCACAGTTGCTACCATTGAGTAAGGTACCCCCTATACTATACAATTGGTTTTTCTTGCCTAAATGTAGAACCTTACTTTAAAACAGCTAATTTGTCAGCTTACAGCCCTCGGTTGTCACGTTTGCAGCCACGACTTCCATGCCTGTTTTACAGAGAGGGAAACCGAGTCACGCATGGCTTTGGGAGAGAAAGAGGCAGGGATCTTTACTAGGAGACAGGAAAGTGCAACTGTCCTGTGTACATGCCAAGCATCTGAAGTTTGATTACGCGATCCTGGGGACGCTGCAAGGGTCCTCAGTGTGAAAAACTTTTTTTAGTACAATTCTTACACTGAGCAGTCACTAAATGAATAGTCGTAAGTCAAGGACTACCGGTTATTGTGAGCTGGAGAATGGGCATTGGAAGTTGTCTTTGGCAAAGGAAACTGGAAAGGAAGGGGAACGAAAGAACGAAAGAATGCTCAGTTGGCTGGTGGCGTCCGTTCTTGAAAATGTTCTGCCCCCAAGTGTGAGAAAGGAGAAATGTAAAACGCCTGAAGGATAGAACACTTTTGATAAAAAGATATGGGCTTCAAATCTAGGACTATTTGATTCCAGGCCCGGCTGGACGCGGGGGAGCGGTGCCTGCACATGGCGCTCCCGTGCGACGTGGCCACTCTCGTGAAGCTGTTTTTGAGGAGCCTCCCCGAACCCCTGATCTCCGCCGAGTTGCAAGGACCCCTCTGCCAGGTGCAGCAACAAAGCCGAGAAGATGACGACCGGGACTCGCGCACTCTGCTCCTCACCTGTCTGCTTCCCCCGAGCAACTCCAGCGTCCTCCGCTATTTTATGAGCTTCTTGCAGGAGGTTGTGGCCAGGTGAGCCCCCCCCAAGGGGATACCTTTGTTTATATTGATTGACTGATGAATCATTCTTTCCCCTCCTGTTTTCCCCACAACGACAACTCTGTGAGGTGGGTTGGGGCTGAGAGAAAGTCACCTTGCCGGCTCTCCTGCCTAAGGTGGGACTAGAACTCACCGTCTCCTGGCGATTGGCCGAAAGTCACCCAGTTGGTTTTCATGACTAAGAGGAGACTAGAATTCACTGTCTCCTGGCGATGGGCCCAGAGTCATCCAGCTGGCTTTACCCAGCCAGATTTCATGCCTAAGGCAGAACTAGAACTAGAACTCACCGTTTCCTGGTGACTGGCCCAGAGTCTCCCAGTTGGCTTTCATGCCTAAGGCAGAACTAGAACTAGAACTCACCGTTTCCTGGTGACTGGCCCAGAGTCACCCAGTTGGCTCTCATGCCTAAGGCAGAACTAGAACTAGAACTAGAACTCACCGTTTCCTGGTGATTGGCCCAGAGTCACCCAGTTGGCTCTCATGCCTAAGGCAGAACTAGAACTAGAACTAGAACTCACCGTTTCCTGGTGATTGGCCCAGAGTCACCCAGTTGGCTTTTATGTCTAAGGCAGGACTAGGACTAGAACTAAAACTAGAACTAGAACTAGAATTAGAACTAGAACTCACCATTTCCCGGTGATTGACCCAGAATCACCCAGTTGGCTCTCATGCCTAAGGCGGGACTAGAACTCACCGTCTCCTGGTGATTGGCCCCGAGTCACCCTGCTGGTTTTCCTGCTTAAGGCAGGACTAGATTTCTCCTGGTTTCTAGCCTGGTTCTGCCTGCCCCACTTTTGCCTAATTCTGTGGAGCCCCCTAGTCCCTGCAGCCCCCTCCAACTCCCCTGCACACCCCCTGGGAATCCTAATTCCCTCCCCCCCCCAGTAACTTCTGAGGATTCTGCCAGTCTTGCTTTTTCTTGTCTCCATGCCTGTTTTTGCCCACTTTGATGGCTGGAAACCTAAATTCCTGGCTCTTATTTTGTTTTGTTCCTTTGTGACTCAGGGATCTTTGTATTCCGCATACCTCATACTGCTCTCTGTGTGTGTGTGTGTGTTTTGCGGAGTTGGGCTGTTCTAGAAGGATTGTGCGCTCGGCACATTTCTGTTAAAAGCCGGAACGGGCACGGAGGAACCCCAAAATGTGACTCCCCCAAAGCTCTGCTCCTGTCCTGTATAGAGCTGTCTGTATGGCGTGGACACCCCCCCTCCACCCCCCCCCCAAAAAAGTGAGAATGGCGGCAGCCACGAGGCTGCACTCAAAGCTCTCTGGCTGGTTGTGATGGGCGTTTGCACGCCTGCCAACACCCTTGCTCCTATGACGGATGTCTGTTTGCAGGAATGAATGAATCTTCCTGTGCTGCAAGGACACGGGGTCCTTAATCCCCCTCTTCTGCCGCGTGATCCGAAAGGATGGCAGAGCCCTTTTCCTCCAAAGAGCACGCAAAGGAGCTGCGTGCGGAGAAGTTTCTGAATGAGTCACCGCCAGCTGAATGGTGTAATGACGATGTTGTTCATGAAGCTCGTATTCATTCTGTAAAAAAAGACTCATGGGGGGGGGGGAGAGGAGGAGGAGGAGGAGGACATCGCACGGCACGTAGAGCATGCGCCCCGCGAACAGCCCTGAGGACTAGCAACTTGTTTGCACCCAAACAAACCCAAACCATGATTTTTTTTCAGACAAGGGCAGGCAAAAGGGACCAGCCCGGGATCTCCTTGAGTTATTGATGGATCCTCTCTTGCTCATTCCAAACCACGTGGGGTGTTTTTTTGTGTGTCTTTTTTTTGTGTGTGTGTGTGGCTTCGTTTCAGGTGTGCTCAGAACAAGATGGACCTGGCTAACTTGGCCATCATCTTTGTGCCCAACCTCTTCTCGGGGGAGACGTCCAGCCAGGGGGGCATCAGTAAGGCCGAAGAGCGCCTGCGGACTCAAGTGGCGGTCACTCAGCTGTTGATCAGCCGTGCCTCGGAGATTGGTGGGTCCTGGGCACATGGGGGGGGGGAGAGTTCTATTTGGCACCCCCTGGAAAATGGGCGGGGGGGGGAATGTGGCAGGTGAGTGAATGCTGACCTAGAAAGCAGGAGATGGTGAGTTCCAGTCCTGCCTTAGGCGCCAAAGCCTTCTTGGGTGACTTTGGGCCGATCGCCTGGAGACGGTGAGTTCTAGTCCCGCCTTAGGCACGAAGGCCAAGTGGGTGACTCTGGGCCAGCCCCTCCCTCTCAGTCCAACCTGCCTTGCAGGGTTGTGTTGTGATAAAAAATAGGAGGAGGAAGGAGCATGGAGCACACCCACCGCCTCGACTGATTTATAACTCAGTAATTAATAAATACACGGGATAAACAAACAAACGCATATTCCAATGTCTGGATGGTGTTAAAGTGCTGCCCCCTGTTGTGTTCAGGTGGAACAACAGCAGACCCTCTGTCAGCATCCCGATCGGGTTTCCTTGATACTTGCCTGGCCAATAGGACAGACGGACACACACACACACACACACACACACACGCACGCACGCACGCACGCACGCGAGCGCTTCTCCCTGGAAGGCTATCACAGCTTCTACAGCTTCTGTTCCTTGCCTGCCCTCCCTTCCATAGAGACCCACTGCTAAACAAGGGGGGGGGGTGTCACAATCTGGCATGACTTTTCCTTTTCGGTTTGTCGCAGCCCCCGCCCCGTGGACCACTCTTCCTCTTGGGATCTGGCCTCCTCCCCTCCCCACCACCACTCTTTTAACCTTCCGGAAAGCCCTGAAGACCTGGCTTTTCTCCCCAAATGCTGGCATAGGGTGAGATTAAACAGTGCCACCAGTTGGGACCCCGAAAGTCACCTCCTTTTGTGGCAATGCCTGCCCTCTGGAATGAGATTCACCCCCCCCCCCAAATGCCATTGACTTCTCCTACCCTGCTAATATAATAATAATAATAAAGTTGGAAGGGACCTTGGAGATCATCTAGTCTAACCCCCTGCTCAGGCAGGAAACCCTACCCCATTTTGAACTAATGGTTGTCCAGTTTCTTCTTAAAAACTTCCAGTGTTGGTGCATTCACCACTTCTGGAGGCAGGTGGTTCCACTGGTTAATTGTCCTCACTGTCAGGAAGTTTCTCCTTAGTTCTAAGTTGCTTCTTTCCTTGATTAGTTTCCATCCGTTGCTTCTTGTCCTGCCTTCAGGTGCTTTGGAAAGTAGCTTGACTCCCTCTTCTTTGGGGCAGCCCCTGAGATATTGGAAGACTGCTATCATGTCCCCCCTCGTCCTTCTCTTCATTAAACTAGACATCCCCAATTCCAGCAATTGTTCCTTATATGTTTTAGCCTCCAGTCCCCTGATCATCTTTGTTGCTCTTCTCTATACTCTATATTTGGAAGGGCTGCAAATATCTGGCTTTCCCGAAGCCTTTGAGGAGGAGACCACTGCTTGCCCCCTTCTTCTTTTTCTCTGACCCCCCTCCCCCCTTTTTTTATTTTTCTTCGCCATCGTTGTTCTTTTGTCTAGTGCGGCTTTTGTGTTTCTTTGCACTCTTCCTTTGTTCTGAAACGCTTTAACAGATGTAATCAGCCCAGAGGAGCTAAGAGATAGGCAGCGTGTAAATTTAATATTTAAACTTGATGTTGTGTTCATCGTGGGAAGCGTACCTTATGGGCTGCCTCACAAACTTCAGTTGTGTGCCTGGTCCTTCTGTTTGTGGCCTTGCTGTTGTTATTTTATCGATTGTATGTATTGTGTTGTATCCCTTGGGTTGGGTGCCACCCAGAGTTTGGCTTAAGATGGGCGACTGTATACATGTGTTTTAATTCATTACTTATTGGGGGGGGGGAAACTCTAGAACCACAACAACAAACGAACCCTGGTGATGCTGTCCTGTTTCACAAAGTGGGGTCCGTTTCCAATCACAATTCTTGGTTATACTAAAAGGCTTAGTCCACTTAGAGTGACGGTGAGGCTGAAGGTGGGCAGTTTGCGATGCCAGGAAGGGATCTGAGCCATTTGCTGTGCATGAGTCACGGGGGAGGCTGTTCAAATAAAAAAGCTCCTGTTTATTGGAGGGTGGGGAAGAGAGCAATCTTGACTTGTTATCCCAGAAACCGGCGGTTCTGGGCAGCCAAAAATTTACGGGAAAGGAAATTGCCGGATGATAAATTCCTTCCTTCTCTGAAGTGTGTGTGGGGAGCAGCGTACAGATGTGCATACCTTACATTTTGCAGCAGCTTGCAGAGACTTGCACGCACAACCATCTTCCTTCCTTCCTTCCTTCCCGTGACCTTCTGCAAAACACAAGTCATTGCAGAATGGAATGGGATGGGATGGGATGGGATGGGATGGGATGGGATAGGATAGGATAGGATAGGATAGGATATGGGAATAGAATAGAATATGGGAATAGAATATGGAATAGAATAGAATAGAATAGAATAGAATAGAATAGAATAGAATAGAATATGGGAATAGGATAGGATAAGATAGGATATGGGAATAGAATAGAATATGGGAATAGAATAGAATAGAATAGAATAGAATAGAATAGAATAGAATAGAATAGAATAGAATAGAATAGAATATGGGAATAGGATAGGATAGGATAGGATAGGATAGGATATGGGAATAGAATCGAATCGAATCAAATAGAATAGAATAGAATAGAATAGAATAAAATAAAATAGAATAAAATAGAATAGTTGGAAAGGACCTTGGAGGTCATCTAGTCCAACCCCCTGCTCAGGTAGGAAATCCTATCCCATTTCACCAAATGGTTGTCCAGTCTCTTCTTTAAAAAGGTGACCACTTGACCCCAGGAGACAGCAATACATGTCATAAATACATGGAGAGTTGAACTGAACATTTTGAAATTTTGATCACCTGACTGTGGGAACGTTATGACAGTTGTAAGCACGAGAACCAGTCGTAACTCACCTTTTTCAGCGCCGTAGAACCATCAAATGGCCACTAAACTGTTAGTTGCGCGAGGACCACTCGTCATATAGCTAGATGATTTTTGTTACTGGTTTTTCCCACTTTCGGTTTGTTCTGTTACTCCCTTTCCCCTCTTCCTTTTGCGGTGCTCATCTTTTCAGGCTGGATTTTGAGCCTCAATAAAGATTAAAGATTCATATGGAGTGGGGTTTTTTTTCTTTTTCTTCTTGGCTTTAGGAACGATTCCTGAGCCTCTGCGGGACAAAATCCATGCTGCCGTTTCAGACCTGGAAAGCAAAGGGCTGTGTCAGCGAGGGCAAGGAGAGGCTGCAGAGAGCTGCACCGCAGGGAGAAGAAGACGTCGGCGCAGCGTAAGCTGTGAGTGTGCCGTGGAAAACCCAGATCAGCTTTTTAGAATGTGAGATGTTAGGAAGAGGCCTGTTTGGGTCAGGCCTGATCTAGGGCCAGGGGTTCTCAACCTTGGCAACTTTAAGACTTGTGGACTTCAACTCCCAGAATTCCTCAGCCAGCTTCTGGCTGAGGAATTCTGGGAGTTGAAGTCCACAAGTCTTAAAATTGCCAAGGTTGAGAACCCCTGAATTCTAGGCCAACATTTGTACCTCTGACGGTCATTCAGCGACACCTGAGAAGTTTGATGCGCGGAGATGGGAAAAAAGAAGACTACAGAACATAGAATAATGAGATTGGAAAGGGACCTTTGGAGGTCTTCTAGTCCAACCCCTTGCCCATGGCAGGAGAGCCTATGTACCATACTGCCCACAATATTGGGGCTTAGGCTTTGTGACTGAAGTCCTTTTGGAGTAGAATGGTGTAGAAATATGTCCCAATTATTATTATAGGTAGTTCTCAACTTAAAACCATAATTGGAACCGGAAATTCGGTCGCTAAGTGAGGCAGGCAAAGCGTTTACCTGCATTTTTCAGTATTACAGATCTAATGGAAAATATCCAGTGCTTTCTCCAGTCTACAATAAACAAACTAGCCAATACTACGGAAGAGATGAAACGGTGACCAAAACTGGGATTAATCCAGGGGTAGGCAACCTGGGCTCTTTTATGACTGGTGGACTTCAACTCCCAGAACTCCCAGCTGAGGGGAAAGGGAGAGGTTTCCAAGCTGAGCCATGCTGGCTCAGGAATTCTGGGAGTTGAAGTCCACGAGTCATAAAAGAGCCAAGGTTGCCTACCCCTGCCCTAAGCCAGTGTTTCTCAACCTTGGCCACTCAGAGATGGGTGGACTTCAACTCCCAGAATTCCTGAGCCAGCATGAGGGAAACTTTGGCCCCCTCATGACTCATGGACTTCAACTCCCAGAATTCCTGAGCTTGGAAACCTCTCCCTTTCCCCTCAGCATGGCTGGCTCAGGAATTCTGGGAGTTGAAATCCACGAGTCATAAAAGAGCCAAGGTTGCCTACCCCTGCCTTAGGAAATAGGATGTTTGTTTTTAACCACTCATGTAATTGGGCCAGAAAAAAAAGCGCTTGAGCTTAACGACAAAGGCAATTTGGGAAACGACCAAAATGCTAGAATTCTTTTGACAAGAGTTGGTACGAGGGAAACTACCTCTGGTTCCTTCCCAGAAAACGTTTTCAAACTTTCGCCTGCAATGCTCTTCCACGTAAATCGCATTATTTGCTGAATTACGACTTTTCCTTTTGAGAATCCTTTAGAACAGTGGTTCTCAACCTTTTTATATGGCGACCCCTGGTCACACGGACGCGCTGACACGTGCAGCATGGCGCACATGCGCGGCGCTGCCCCCTTGCGTGGTGCGCATGGCGGCGCCGCCCCCTGAGGGGGAAAAATGGCGGATCGCGTTGTTTGGCGACCCCCGTAAAATGGTCGTTCGACCCCAAATGGGGTCACGACCCATAGGTTGAGAACCGCTGCTTTAGAAGAAAAGGATCTTTGAAAGAGAGAAGGTGGACGGGGTGAGCTTTTTAGGACTGTAAATGCCTACCTCCTTTTTTTTTCCCCTTGCCTTGCAGATATGGTCAATGAGGCCCTGAACAAATTTAGGACCTGTCGAACTGTTTGCATCACTCCTGACCTGGGAATGAAACAGGGTGAGGATGAATGCCCTTTGAATTTGTTTTTTTTTTTTTTCAGTTCGTTCCAGGGTTTAAATATGTTTGATACCTGATTTCCCCGAAAATAAGTCCTAACTTGAAAAAACGGCCGTAGCATGATTTTTCAGGATGCTCGTAATATAAGCCCCACCCCCAAAATAAGCCCCAGTTAAGATCGTCAACCAGACAAAGGCATTTAGTACCGTATTTCCCCCAAAATAAGACCTAATGCGTCTTTTGGAGCATATAAGGAACGGTTGCTGGAATTGGATATGTCTAGTCTAATGAAGAGAAGGATGAGGGGGGACAGGATAGCAGTGTCCCAATATCTCAGGGGCTGCCCCAAAGAAGAGGAAGTCAAGCTATTCTCCAAAGCCCCTGAAGGCAGGACAAGAAGCAACAGATGGAAACTCATCAAGGAGAGAAGCAACCTAGAACTAAGGAGAAACTTCCTGACAATCAGAACAATTAATCCGTTGAACAACCTGCCTCCAGAAACGGTGAGTGCTCCAACACTGGAAGTTTTTAAGAAGAGACTGGACAGCCATTTGTCTGAAATGGTATAGGATTTCCTGCCTGAGCAGATGACCTCCAAGATCCCTTCCAACTTTATTATTATTATTATTATTATTATTATTATTATTATTATTATTATTATTATTATTATTTAATATAAGATACAGTCTTATTTTCAGGGAAATACGGTAGCAATGGAGGGTTGGTGAGAACATGTAACCTGCTGTGTGGGAGATCCCTCGGTCCTCATTTCAACCCATCAGTGTTGCTGAAGTGGCTGAGAGGCTCGGTTTCAGCTGCTTTGAACCTGTTCCCACAGAGCCTCAAGGTAGCCCAGTCCTGAAAATATCCTTCGGCTCCAAGCGGAAAGCATCCGAGGAGGTGGTGGCAGTTACCGAGCTTTCTATCAAAAAGAGGTGAGATCTTAACTCCCATCACAGTCAGGGTGGAATTGCTTGGAAGTGCTTAACTCCCATCACAGTCAGGGTGGAATTGCTTGGAAGTGGTGGTGGAAATTTGGCTAGAGTTGCTTTGCAGAGTGAGATGGCTGGCATATAAATTTAATCTATAAATGAATATGCTTTGGAGATCAGATGCTAAACGAGAGAATTATTTTCAATGATTCTGACTGTTGGGTTCAAGGCGATTTGAGGCTCTGGCATTTGGGAAAAAGGTACCACCAAAATTGGCAGAGTGCCCCTTATCTAAGGAGCCGTGGCAGCACAGTGGTTAGAAGGCAGCATTGCTAGCTAACTCTGCCGACTGCCAGCAGTTCGATCTTTACCGGCTCAAGGTTGACTCAGTCTTCCATCCTTCTGAGGTCGATAAAACGAGGACCCAGATTGTTGGGGGAGGGTAACAGGCTAATTCTGTAAACCACTTAGAGAGGGCTGTAAAGCACTGTGAAGCGGTATATAAGTCTAAGGGCTATCTGTCCCCTGAGTGCTGCCTCGCTTGAGGATCTACTCCGAAGCTGAGCAGGGTCCCTTCGTGGTCCAAAAATTGTTGGCCAAACGCTCAGCTTGGTTCGTGTTTTCATGAAGGATCCTGTTCCCTTGGGTTCAACCTTCTCAGCTTTGGACAAGTCAAGCAATCTTATTCACAAGTCCCAACTTTTCTCACCATCCTGCAAATCCAAGCTGACAATTCCCCATGGCTTTTTCTTCCTACAGAGCTGGGGTGGCATTTTTTGCAGACCTCGGAGCCAGGGAAGAAAAATCTGTTCTCTACTCGTGGTTGAGTCGTTCTGCTTTTAAAATCTTCTTTTAAATAACCCCCCACCAGGAAACCAGTTCAGACAGTATGATTTGTCCATCGTTTTGCCCGCAGGAGGTCAGATTTGGGAATAACCAGTTCAGACCCCTTTGATGGAAACGGTGGGGCTTCGTTTGATCAACCAGCTGACTTTACTTCGGTGCAAGGTAATTTCCTTGACCTCCCCTCCCCCATAGAAGAGAGATGCCTTTTGCCCCAGCATTCATTATCTGCTATAATACAGATAAGATAATCTTTATTGTCATTTTTTTACTGTGGGCACAACGGCACACATCAAAAATGAAATTTAGTTGCCCGCTCTCAAAGTGAAACACATACATGAGACACTCCTAAACATACTATATACAACTTATGTATAGACCCACACCTCTACATATACATAACAAATAAATATTAAATACTGACCATCTTGAATATGTAACGGAAGGAGGAAGCTTGAGAGTTCACAAGGTTAAATGCTGTATGGAAGGAAACTATGGCTGAATCTGGATGTTCTGCTACAGATACCACGAAGCCCCCTCCTCCCAGAAAGGAACAAGGAAAACAGGTCGTGGAAGAGGATGTGTCGTGTCCCAGATGATCTTATGGACCTTGCTCAAACAACGCTTCTGTGCTATGTCCTGGATGGGAGGGAAGGAGCTGCCAATGATCTTTTCGGCCATCCTTACCACTCTCTGAATCACCTTCCTATCTGAAGCAGTGATGCTTCCAAACCAGACTGTGATGTACCAGTAACTTAATCAGTCCTTACTCCCAGTCTGGGAATGATGGGCACCGTAGCCAGACATATTACTGTATGATGATAACATGACAGAAGGGAAGGAAACATATACACACAATCCACCTAATTATACACAAAACCTCTATGGGGATAATAATAATAATAGTAGTAAAGTTGGAAGGGACCTTGGAGGTCATCTAGTCCAACCCCCTGCTCGGGCAGGAAACCCTACACCATTTCGGACAAATGGCTGTCCAGTCTCTTCTTAAAAACTTCCAGTGTTGGAGCATTTACTGCTTCTGGAGGCAAGCTGTTCCACTGATTAATTGTTCTCACTGTCAGGAAGTTTCTCCTTAGTTCTAGGTTGCTTCTCTCCTTGGTTAGTTTCCATCCTTTGCTTCTTGTCCTGCCTTCAGGCGCTTTGGAGAAGAGCTTGACTCCCTCTTCTTTATGGCAGCCCCTGAGATATTGGAGCACTGCTATCATGTCCCCCCTTGTCCTTCTCTTCGTTAAACTAGACATACCCAATTCCAGCAGCCATTCCTTATATGTTTTAGCCTCCAGTCCCCTAATCATCTTTGTTGCTCTTCTCTATGGCAGTGGCCTCGTAACTGAATGTCCAGTTCAACTATCCAAGCGATGACCTCTGGCGTTGCTTCCTGCAGATCTTCTAGGGAACCAGAGAACGCACATCATGGGGAACCTTGCACAATATTGCTTAATAGTTTTGCACATCAGCACCACAATCGCCACAAGTTGAATCTTTCCACCCCCACTGATACAGGGCAGAGGCCCGTCTTCCAGAACCACACCAAATTCTGTTCAGTTTCGACCAGACAGAGCAAGGCAGGTCAAAACCAGGCGGTTTGGTAGAGGGATCACTAATGGTCAGGCTGCAGGAAGATACCTTGGATCATTTCTCCCTCCAGGCATTCTCGGGGTTCTGCAATTATAAACCCCTAATATGCAAATCTACGTGTAATGTGCAGATTGCAAGGGAAGTGATGATCTTCAGGGTCTTTTTGTATCGCTCGGCGTCCCCCTAATATATCGTAACCCCGCTTTTTATTTCAAGGAGGAAGCCAAGAAATCCAGGTTAAAATGTTTGCATGAAACCAAATCTAAGAGGTCAACTTTTCTGGCTTCTGTGAAGCTGGTCTGCCTTTTCTTACATCTTTCTTACAGGCAGCTCAGGAACTCCAACTGGGAAAGTTCAGCGGAAGCAGAGCAGCAGCAGGAAACGCCCTCGGAGGTGGGTGGGGAAGAATCTTCCCTAGAAATATCTCTTTGCAAAAGCAGGAAGATGGTTATCTTGTATGCAAATAGGGGTTTCCAAATTGAGACTTGCCTCTGCAAAGCAGTTGCGTCAGCTGGAATTGTGGTCTGCATTTTAGTGGCATGATGCATTGCCTGCGCCTCAGAGGCGATGAGGCTTCTGTCACGTCACAGCCACCGTTTTGACACCCCCCCTTGCAGTCGCCCCCTCCAGGTGCATTTTAAAGTTTGTGCCTTTCTCCCAAAGGTGCTTTTCAAAAAGGCAACTGGACTTTCTTATTTTATTTTTTTGCTTGAAAACATTTCGCTTCTCGTCCAAGAAGCTTCTTCAGTTCTGAACTTCGAAGACATTTTCAAGGAAAAAAAAAAAAAAACAACCCCAAAAAGTCCAGTTGCCTTTTGAAAAGCATCTTTGGGACAACCACGACCTGGATGATGGAGAATCTCCTTTCTGATTGCTTATTTTTTCTCTGTGCTCTGTTTTTCATCCTGAAATTGTCCTAGATAGAATATTAATATATCCCAGTAAGAAAGGCTAAACAGTTCATGCGTTGCGGCTCACCATGTAAAAAAAAATACACAGCAGGAAAGAAAGAAAGAAGAAAAGAAAGAAAGAAAGAAAGAAAGAAAGAAAGAAAGAAAGAAAGAAAGAAAGAAAGAAAGAGGAAGGAAGGAAGGAAGGAAGGAAGGAAGGAAGGAAGGAAGGAAGGAAGGAAGGAAGGAAGGAAGGAAGGAAGGAAGGAAAACTATATATCCAAGGCACCGTGGTTTTTTTGCCTTTCTTTATTCCTATTTTAGCAGGGCATGATAGAATTGAGCTGTTCAGGATGGTCCAAATAGCATGATCTCCTTCAAATTAGATGCACGCGTTGCTCTATTTCTTAGCAGGCACATGGGCTCCTGGGAGAATTGTTTCTCAGTTGCCACCCTGCCTCCCCCATCCCAATCTTTTCTTTCAGGAAGTCCACTACTGCCTCCCGCAGCTTTTCACCCTCTCTCACTGAGAGGAAGCAAACAGGGCACAAATCCTTCAACATCTGCTCTGGCAACAGCAAAGACCAGGTGAGAACATCTTGAGGATGTTGCTGGAAACCACAAAGGGTTTGTACGTATTTTTTCTGTCGAGCTGCTATTGTTCGCTGGACTACAATCCCCAGGATCCATAGCCAGCAGGTAACAAGTGTGATGTACTCCAAAATGGCTAGGGAGGGTTCCTTTAAAATATCACCTCAGTAGGGCAGGTGGGGACAACCATCTTTAAGTGGAAGAGTACAAGAATGTGCACACACAGAGAGGACTGTGTTTGTCTATACCAAGGTAGGCAGCCTTGGCTCTTTTATGACTGGTGGACTTCAACTCCCAGAATTCCTGAGCCAGCATGAGGTAAACTTTGGCCCCCTCATGACTCCTGGACTTCAACTCCCAGAATTCCTGAGCCAGCAATGCTGAGGGGAAAGGGAGAGGTTTCCAAACTGAGCCATGCTGGCTCAGGAATTCTGGGAATTGAAATCCACGAGTCATAAAAGAGCCAAGGTTGCCTACCCCTGGTCTATACAGTGTTTCTCAACCCTGGTTACTTTAAGATAGGTGGACTTCAACTCCCAGAATCCCCCAACCAGCATGCTTTATGATGGAGGGACTTCAGCTCCCAGATTTCCTCAGTCAGCATGCTTTAAGTTGAAGGGACTTTAATTCCCAGAATTCCTCAGTCAGCACGCTTTAAGTTGGAGGGACTTCAGCTCCCAGAATTCCTCAGCCAGCATGCTTTAAGATGGGTGGACTTCGACTTCCATGTTGACTGCAGAATTCTGGGAATTGAAGTCCACCTAGCTTAACGTTGCCAAGGCTGAGAAACACTGGCCTGCAGTAGCCAAAAAATCCGGAGTCACCTGGTTGCCCTTGTTTCAGACTAACAGATTTATTAAAAGGTATCAGCTTTTGTGAGCTACATACGTCACCAGAAGTCTGGGGTGGATAAATCGATTTAGGATTTAAGTGGGGAAGGGCAGAGTGGCTGTATAGATTCAGGTGAGATAGATTACGATCATCCTATCAATTAACAATGGCAATGTATGAAAAACCCAGTGTGTTGGCTGAGATAGTGTGAGATAGCCTGGGATCTTTCAGTGCTTTTGCTGATGGGTGGTTTTAAAGTCTCGTTTTTTCCAGAATGGGTACCTAGGTTCTCTAATGGAGGCTCCTGCAAGGTTAAAATGTTCTCCCATTCCTCTGCCTCTATTTTGAGTCCTGATGTTAAACCTGTGTCTGTTACACAAGGACTGTCCAGCCTGTCCTACATAGAATACAGAGCAGGTAATATTGTCGGCAAATGAGGACATCGATCACATCAGAGGAAGGGCAGATGAAGGTGCTTCTAATCTGAGATATGAGAGATTGGGATCTACGATGGGACCCTGGGTGGGGAGGGGAAGAGGCCTCTGAGCTTCTTTCAAGGTTTGGTTCTCCTTCTCCTTCTGACCTGGATTCTCACATGCAAACCCTGGTGTGTTTCATGCGCTGAATCTAGGCAAAGCACAACCAATAAACATGCAGGCAACCAATCATCCAAATTTACATCAATAGGGTTAGACAGAGCATAGAATGCTGGGCTGATGATCAGCAGCCTCGCGTTTGAGACCTGTTGCTGTCGCGGGACCGGGTGAGCTCCCGTCACACGCTCCAGCTCCTGCTAACCCAGCATTTCAAAAGCGGGTGATCATGAGAAGATAAATGGGTACTTCAGTGGGCAACTTCACGGAGACATGAAAGGAACCTCCAACTGGACATCTCTTGGGCAATGGCGATGTTACGTGTTATGCTGGGCTGACGATCGGCAGGCTTATGTTTGAGACCTGTGGCTGCCACTGGGTGGAGTGAGCTCCCGTCACATGTTTCAGCTCCTGTCAACCCAACAGTTCAAAAGTGGGTGATCACGAGAAGATAAACGGGTACCACTTTGGTGAGCAACTTCATGGACACCCTGCATGTTCCCCGCGCAATGGTGATGTCACTGGCAGATCCTTTCACCGCCCCCAAAAGCACTTTGGAGCTCCTGACACAGAAGTAGTTGTAGTAATTGTCATGACAAGTGGACTGAACTAGAGAAAGTGCTACTGGATTTATTCAAAGTTGTTTCTTTTTCCAGCCCTCATCCCAGCCACCCCACCCCCTCTCTGCCAAAGGAGCAGACCCCAGTGGATGGTTCCCTCTGAAGAAGAGGAGGCAAGAAGCAGGAGACCTCACCATGATCCTACCGCAACGGGCTTGCCTGCAATCCTACAAGGTCCAGGAAGATCATGGAGGTACACTTGCTCTCCTGAAGGGCTACCAAGAACTGTGGTTTGGATGTGGTTTACCACGTAATGCTAAAGCCATCTGTGTGCCTTTATGGAGTGTGTGAACTCGGGGGACTCTGCAGGTGTGGTCAAAACAGGCGAGATGGTGGCCACCGCAGAACAATTGAAATTCTGCATGCCACATCTATGGAGATCCTCAGTCATCCAGGTCCTGGTTGTCCCAAAAGTGCTTTTTCAGGAGGTAACTGGATTGCCTTGTTTTTCTTTGAAGGCATTTTGCTTCTCATTCAAGAAGCTTTTTCAGCTTTGACTGGATGATGGGGAACGGATGGATTTATGTTCCTTGCAGACAGCTGGTTATTTGCATGCTTGTCGTTGAGGCCACTTGGAGATTTATCTCTGTCCCCAAGGTCACCTGAGTAGTGCAAATGGGTGTGGAGCCTTCTTGGAGCTGCTGAGGACACCATTTATCACCAGTCCACCACACAGTCCTTTCGGCAGTTCCAAGAAAGCTCCACACCCGTTTGCACCACTCAGGTGACCCTGAAGACACAGACAAACCTCCAAGTGGCCTCAACGACTCTCCTAAAAGAAGACAAATGACCAGCTGTCTGCAAGGAGTATAAGGGAAGACTATAGAAAAAAAAATAGTTTTTACTGTGATGCCTCTCTTACTCTGGATATTTCCCACCTCCCCAGTCAAAATTTCAACAGCCTTTCCTTCCTCACGTTCCTTCCACACCTTTTGTTCGTTGCATGTACCCATCGAAAACCCTTCTCCAAAACAACACAATTGCTCCGAGACCCACACCACAAGCAGGGGCTAAAACAGCTGTCCTTCTGGATTTGTTTGAAGGTTCTCCAAGCTGCTCGCCCAGTGGAAACGCAAGCGCCCGCATCTCCTTCATCCCGAGGGCTTTCGCGGAGGTGAAATCCAGAAGACCTGCAGAAGCAAGGCCCTATTTTGAGGTGCTCAGTTCTCGGCCCTCGGGGCAGGATGCGGGGACCCCACTTGGAAAGAGAGGGTGGTTGGCAAAGATGGAGGCCCTGGCAGAGACGAGCAGACAAGGCATCGCCCTCACCATGTGCCACAAGGCCCTTCGGCGATCTCTGAGCTGGCCGGAAGAGCTGTCGCTGAGGGACGCCACTGACGAAAGCAATTTCTCTCCAGAGGAAGCTCCCATTAGCCCAGGAGGGCAGGAGGACTTTGGTCCAGCTGAGCCAGCTCAACCTGGCATGAAAGACGTCATATCTGGCATGAAGCAACTCAGAGTCCAGCCGGTGTGCGTGGCACCAGCAGAAAACCTCATGGCTACCAGTTCAGGAGACGAGTCGTGCAATCTTTCTCCAAGGCTGTCTCCACCCAAGTCGGAAGTGCTGGAGACCGGTGGGAATCTCACCGGTCAAGTCTCCCAAACGCCCGCCGGGCAATTCGCCCTCAACTTCCAAGGGGCTCCAGTCCCCTCAAACGAAGAGCCTCAAATCAGCATCCTCACCTCTCCCAGACCCAAATCTAGGCGCCGTTTCGGCCGGTCGGTGAGCCACGAAAGTGGCCTTCCCTTGCAGGGTGGCGTCTCCAAGGGAGGCGAGTCCAGGCCACCCCCCAAGAACCCCCTGCAGCAGCTCAAGGCTTGCGGCCGGCAATTCTTCATCGGCCACAAGCACATCAGGAGCTCTTTGGCGGGGCTGTGGGGCCGAAAAGAGGGACACGGACCCCCAGCGGATCCCCCGGACCAGCAGACCAGCCTCCTGTCTGAAGATGACCAGCTGCCCCACAGCTGTTCACCCCCAAACCTGGCAGGGGGAGATGTAGGTTATGGTTAATTCAAGATGGTCCGAGAGGTCACCGTCCCAGTGGAAGCCAGACATCCATTCTGGGTAGGAGCTATTGATTTGTGTTTAGGGCTTATCTATTGGGCTTGATTTGCCATTCATTGGATCTAAATTTCAACAGAAATGGGTCTGTTGGGGGGGGGGGCAAGTCAAGGAGGTGGTGTGTGTGTGTGTGTGTGAATCTCACCTGTCATGTTTCCCTTAACGAGGTCAACCTGTTGAGATGGGCATTTGGATCTGTTTTTCCCCCTGCAACTCTTGGTACTACCTCTTGCCTTCATTATTCACTTTATCCCCCCCCCCCAAATACGAAGTGCGACTGCAAGGCGCGGGGAAAGGGCTCCGGGTGCAGCGAGTGGAAAAACCTGCACATTTCCGTTTGGCTGTGTCAGCTTTCCCCTTGCAGTTCACAGCTTCCCCTTTCTCCAGATGATGAATCGCTGGAAGAGAAATAAAAATTCACTACCCCGTCAAAGGCTTCTTGTGGGTTTATGCGGAATGATGTATTAATTGGGGCAATGCTTACAGATGCCCTCAAGGGGGCGCCAAGAGCCTTCCTAATGGCCAACAGGTAGCATTTGATTTCTTTTTAATTTCTCCCTCTCCTTCCCTCTCTCTCTTTCTCCCTCTTTGTTTACTTGCTTGCACGCTGGGTGTTCAGCAATCCTAAATAATTAAAAGCAAGAAGTGCCACACAGCTGCGGGTCTCTGGCCTGACCTTTCCCTCCTTAAGCTGCTTTTAATGAGAAGCTTTCTTTTTAATTGCCCCACGGTTGCATTTATCTTTGCTAAGCGATGTCACAGCCACAAAGAACTCCAAAATGCACAGCCCGCTGCGAGAGTTTAATGAAACTGTTGTGGCGTAAGCCAGCGTTTCAGAGTCCTCTTCGTATTGATTTGGTTCATTCCTGGATGCAAATCCTTTCTAAGCCTGGGGTGTTTGGAAACGCAGGAGAGGCAGCCAAGTTATGTAGACGTAGGTGGGCCAAAACTGAAGTTTAATGAGACTTAAAACTGTGATTGTCACATTCGTGTTATCTGGGCTTTCCTTTGGTGCTGTCAATTGATGCCACCACACCCACAAATAATTTTGAAATGCAGCAGCAAAGGAAAAAGGATGTTGAAGAAGGAAGTTTTACGCACTTTACATAAATAGACTGTTGCATCAAGACTGCTTCCTGGATGAATGTTTATCTCCCACCTTTATTATCTTTATAAGCAATTCAAGGTGGCAAGCACATAATATTCCTTCCTCCTCCTGTTTTCCTAACAATAACAATCCTGGCCGAAAATCACCCAGCCGTCTTTCATGTCTTAAAATGGGACTGGGCTGGGCTGGGCTGGAATGGAATAGAATGGAATGGACCGGGCTGGACCGGAATAGAAGAGAAGAGAAGAGAAGAGAAGAGAAGAGTGGAATGGAAGAAGAGAAGAGAATAGAATAGAATAGAATAGAATAGAATAGAATGGGAATAGGAATGGAAATGGGAATGGAGAAGAGAAGAGAATTACAGAATAGAATAGAATAGAATAGAATAGAATATGAATGGAGAATAGAATAGAATAGAAATATACTATAGAATAGAATAGGAATAGAAGAGAAGAGAATTACAGAATAGAATGGAATAGAATAGAACAGAACAGAATAGAATAGAATATGAATGGAGAATAGATAGAAATATAGAATAGAATAGGAATAGAAGAGAAGAGAATTACAGAATAGAATAGAATAGAATAGAATAGAATCTGGAAGGGACCTTGGAGGTCTTCTAGTCCAGCCCCCCGCTCAAGCAGGAGAACCTATACCATTTCAGACAATTGACTGTCTAGTCTCTTCTTAAAATCCTCCAGTGATGAAGCACCCACAACTTCTGAACGCAAGCTGTGTAGCCTATATCTGTGTAGACTTGGAGCCTGTCCCCAATTCTAGCTGTCTCTGAGTAGGATGCCAACAGAAATGCATTAAAAGCGGGTGTAAATAATAAAAAGAAAACGTGGCCCTATTCACTCACAGTACAAGCATTCCTTGACTGACGACCATAACTGAGCCCAAAATTTCCATCGCTAAGCAAGACACTTGTTAAGGGAGTTTTGCCCCATTTTATGACCTTTCTCGCCACCGTGGTTAATCGCTGCGCTTGCTAAGTCAGTAGCACGGTTGTTAAGTGAATCTGGCTTCCCCATTGACATTGCTTGTCAGAAGTTTGCAAACAGTGATCACATGACCCAGGGCACTGCAACCGTCACAAGTACATGCCAGTTGCCAAGTGTCCGAATTTTGATCACGTCACCCCGGGGATGCCGCACCAGTTGTAAGCGTGAAAAACGGTCATAAGTCAGTGCCATTGTAACTTCAAACGGTTTCTAAACAAACTGTTGTAAGCAGAGGATAAACCTGTAATCTAAGATCTGCTTTGGCTGGTCTCCGGAATACACCAATCGAATAAGGAATATTTTCAGGATGAGAAATATGGCATAAACTTCGTTCTGCTAAATCCCAGACGTGAAGAATCGATTCCTTCCCAGCGGTTGCTAAATTTGTAGCCTCTGCCCTTCTTTTGCCTGATATAAAAGCCGGCGTCTTCCTTTTGCTAATTAATTGAGCGCTTGAAATGATTTGCCCTCTTTTTCTTCCCGCTGAATTCTAGGCAATTTTCAGAGGGAAACGTGCTTAATAGTGGAGCGAATCAAAAGAAAAAAGAAAAAGAAAAAAACTCCAGCCCATTGGCATACGATGAATTTAGAAGCTGGAGTGCAAAGAAACGGACAGGATTGCGCTACAGAAAGCTCTCCGAGGGAATACGTTTAATATCCTGAGTCTATAAAAAGCTGGGATGCCTTGACCCTGTGATTCTTACTTTCGGTTTGAAATAGATAGATAGATAGATAGATAGATAGATAGATAGATAGATAGATAGATAGATAGATAGATAGATTTCTCTGCACATGTTTTTCTTTTTTTAAAACAAGTTTCTATTTAATTAGCACTCCTGCTTCAAGTGAGAAAACTCTTAAACTAGCAGTTTATTCTATTCTTTCCTATTTCTATTTCTGTTCTGTTCTATTCCTATTTCTATTCTATTTCTATTCTATTGTATTCCATATTTCTATTCTATTCTATTCTACAATCTGTCTATTCTATGCTATGCTATGCTATTATTTCTATTCTATTTTATTCTATTCTATTCTACAATCTGTCTGTTCTATGCTATGCTATGCTATGCTATGCTATGATTTCTATTTCTATTCTATTTTATTGTATTCTATTCCTATTTTTATTCTATTCTATATTTCTGTTCTATTCTACAATCTGTCTATTCTATTCTATTCTATTCTATTCTATTCTATTCTATTCTATTCTACTCTACTCTATTCTACTCTACTCTACTCTAATTACAGGGGAATCAATGGCCACTTTAAGGCTGTGGAAACATTCCTGCTGCTTTAATAGCTTCCTGAATTTCCCAAGCTGATTTCATTTATTTTAGCCCAGGATTTCTTACAAAAGGGCCAGCTTGCGGAGCAAAAATTCACTTCAGGTTTGAGCCTGTTTTAACTGAGCAGCTGCAAATCCTACCGGTCTGTCAGAGGCATTGAACTGGGCAGACGCCTGATATAGTATCCGCTGCCACAGGAATATTTTTATATCCGTACGCGCCGTGCTCTAAGCCAGCGGGGTCCAACCTTGGCAACTGGAAGGCCTGTGGACTTCAACTCCCAGAATTCCCCAGCCAGAAATTTGATTGTGGGACTGTGGGAAAATACTACTGAATTAGAATTAGAACAACAGAGTTGGAAGGGATCCAGTAGGTCAAGTGTTTCTCAACCTCAGCAATGCTGGCTGTAGAATTCTGGGAGTTGAAGTCCACATGCCTTAAAATTGTCAAGGTTGAGAAACACTGCAGTAGGTCATCTAGTCCAACCCCCGCCCATCATGTAGAGAATGCACTGCTAATTTTCAGTCCTTAAAGCAGTTATCTCCTTAGGGTGTCTTTACTCTGTTATTGATACAGAGAGTCCTCGACTTACGAACACAACGGAGCCCAAGTTTTATGTTGCTAAGCGAGACCATTGTTAAGTGGTCCATTTTGAGACCTTTCTCTCCAGAATGGCTAAATCACTGCAGTTATTCAGTTAGTGACCCGGTTGTTAAGTGAATCGGGCTTCTCCACTGACTTTGCTGGTCAAGAGCGTTGCAAAAGGGGATCACGTGACTCCGGCACACCGCAACTGTCCTAAGTACAAGTCAGTTGCCAAGCGTCTGAATTTTGATCACATGACCACGGGGATGCTGCAACGGTTGTAAGTGTGAAAACCGGTCCTAAGACACTTTTTTCAGTGTTGTAACTTTGAAATGGTCACTAAACAAATTGTTGTAAGTCAAGGACTACTTGCAGTGACACCCCTTTTCCTAAGGGACAGCCCTGCCAATCCAACTCCTGCCATGCATTTGATTTTTTTTCCTACACAACAATCCTTCTCAGCATCTACAATCCTTTCTCTGTTTCCTTTAACCTATTCAGGTTTGACTGTCTGCTCCCCGTCTTTTCTCTCTCTCTCTCTCTCTCCCTCCCTCTGGCTTTCACCTTCAGCTTCTCCGTCCTTTTCAAAACATTAACAAAAAAAACGGAATCTTCTGATAGCACTTTTGCAACTAACACCTCATATTCAAAGCCATCAGTTTTTGCAAGCCGATGGAAGCTCCTGTTTGTTAATCCGATGTGTTGGTCGTAGAAGGTGCTAGCAAACAATTCCTGTTTTTTTCTCCTTTTTTTTTTTTTTTGGCTCCAGATTACAGTAATGCAGCTGTCCTCCTCCAGTCTCTGTCCTTTTCAGTAATTCCCCTTCAGAGGTGAAAAATGAGGACATTTCAGAATTTGCTGCTTGCTCGCTTGCTTGCTTGTCTGGACATTTTTTGCTCTTGATGCTGATCGGCTGGGGTGAAAATCCAAATTCAAACGGGGAAAAAAAATTACCTTCAGCATTATTTTCCTGCTGTCCCTGAGTTCCCCCCCCCCAAATGGGGCCTTTGTAATACCTTTTCCAAAACTTGATTTTGCAAATCAAATTACTGTATTCAAGAAATGAAGGGGGGGGGAGGTCTTTCTTTCCCATCAGCTGAAAGAGGGTAGACCAGTGGTTCTCAACCTGTGGGTCGGGACCCCATTTGGGGTCGAATGACAATTTCACGGGGGTCGCCAAACAAGGCTGTCTGCCATTTTTCCCCCCCTTTTCCTTGGCCACGCCCCTGGTACCCGGTGATGTATAAGTGGTTGGGGGTCACCACAACACGGGGAAGTGTATTATGGGGTCACGGCATTAGAAAGGTTGAGAACCACTGGGGTAGAAGAAGAGAGATGAAGTTCATTGCAAGATAAATCAGATGTGGAGAAGCATATTGTTTGTGCAGACCGGTTGCTGGCATGCCACCCCCCCCGCCCAAACAGGAGACCCTACATCATTTCTGACAGATGC